GGCGTAAATCGATCCGTGTAAACGTAGTCATAGATATTTATATCTAACACTAGATCGCTGAAGGCCATGGCGCACACCTTCTGTAACAATAACCGTTATATTTGTATATAATTTTTCTGTATTCTACTCGATCTTTCATGTAATTTTTCATTATATTTGTTTTACCATACTGACAAATTTATGTAAACATTGATAATGATCCGATCGCGATCGAAACGTTTGTTTTTCTATTAAAGTTTATATTTTTAACGTAATGATATAATTGTTTATTTTCCACTTTTAAATTATAACAATTGAATTTTGGCTCGTAGCCCATTTTCTTTAAAACAATAATATTAAGAAACTAATAATTGCTGCAAATTTATTTATAAACTTTTTTAATTAAATTAATTCTGCTATAAATATAATTAATATTAATATAAAATAAAAAATTATATTGACATGTAATGACACGCGCTACATCATTTTGAACGTAATATCAGTTTAATAACGACAGGATGCGATCTAATGACCAGTATACATCTATTAGAAGTCTGTACATATATTTTTTTAATCTGTTTATCTACCAGTTTTAAACCGTTTTATATTTTAAATATGTATATACTTATTACTTTGTATTTTTAACATTGAGAATAACCCGATCGGGCTCGAAACGCCATTTGTATTATTGTTTAATTCTTATTAATTATATTATATCTTTAATTTAAATATTGTTTTCTTATGGTTCGGCGCCCTTCTCAACACTTTTATTATTAATTAATATAAAATAGTTAATCTATTTATATTTAGCTGTTTTTATACAGATCTAAAAGTACATTGATTTTTCAATGTAATTTAAAAAATATTTTACAACTTTCAATGTCAATGTTTCTTGGTATATTTTTACAATGCTGTCACATTAATTTTAATAATACAAGCAGGTAATTGAAGGTTGTACATAGCTCTCTCTCTCTTAATTAAAAAATATTTTAATAATAGTTTTTAAATAATTGCATGAAATAAACACTATATTCTCAAATATATATAAAAAAAATTCTCTAATTTTCAAAATACTACATTTCTCACATACCATATCATCCCCTCCTTTACACACACACACACGCGCACGCACACCCTCACACACACGCACGCACGCACACGTACACACACATATATGCATATTGTACATTTTTCATTATAACACAATAAGCATAATGCTATTACTTACAAATACTGTCAAAACAATGTCGTTAAAATTTATTTTTCAAAATAAAATGTTCAAATTACTGTATAAATATATTACTGCTTACTAGTAATCTTTCTTTTCATTTTTTCTTTTATTAATTTTATATGAAGATATCTTCAAAGAGGTATAACTTGAAAACAAGAAAACAATCTTCTAAATAAAATAGATTAAATCAAAGAAAGTAACAAGCCTATATATATGAGCAAGCAACAGAATATATAGATGCAAATTTTTCGTTTATTTAATAAAAGTGAGACTTTGATCCTTGGTTTGGATCCTCTTCAGTAACAATGATACATTGTTATTAATGATATATTGCTATTAATAAATAACGGACAATATTAAATTAAATATGACTTAATTGCATATTGATCGCAAGTTATTGCCAGGTTGTGTATGATCAAGTGAGTAATCTGCCAGTAATTCTTAAGCATCAAATTGCCCGATCTGCTAAGTAAACCAATGGATAGTCAATACAAACCAATGTTAGTCATTGAATATATTCTAAGTTAATACTGAGTGAACATACGTTATACAGCTTATGTGGAATCACTGTGATGAGCAGACCAATGGCTGTATGACTAGTATTCATTAAATTGTCAGATTTACTATATAATATAAATTAAAATAAATTAAACAAATTAATTACATTAATAAAAGAAAACTTACATGAAATCAAAAGACTATCCAAATTCACTGTTTATGGTTCGCTTATCAGACACTAAGTGAGAAATTATCTCGAATGTCGAAAATGTATACAACAAACAGGAAGGAAGCATTGTCATTGTAAATAAATTTTCATAAAGCGGATCTAGAGATGTGTCATTCTGTAGATTTAAACCATATTTTTGTTTTTTAATATGGATCATCTCTGAAATTAATCTTTTGTTAAGAATCTTTTCTTCATCTAAAATTTTTGTTATTCCAATCAAAATCATGTGCTGCTTCGATTCTATATTCTGTGATCACTGAATGTTGAGTTGTGTACCAGTTAATTGTGCTCAATGATACGCGAGTTTAGACATCTGCTCGTCTGTCCTACATATGTTGTATTATAATCTTTACAATTTCATAGACAACGTTGGAATGTAACCAATTGGAGTCTTTTTAAACCTTAATGCTCAATCTGTTGATGCCCCGATAAACCATTCTTACGTAGGAATTATTATTGAAAAAATTCTGAATTTTTCTTTGTAGGAATGAAAGATACAGTAAAAAAAATCTTTTGTTCATATTTTCTATAATTTTACCCTTAATGTATTTTATGTAGTTCAATTGTTCGAGTTTGTTATGGACTCTTTTTATAGTGGTAGAAAATATTAATTTTAGTAGGTAACTTAGTGAATAACATTGTTCAAAAGAATTTTTATAACTAAATTCAGATTTTTTTGAAAGTTGGAATGGGAGAGGAAAAGAGCTGCCTACTAAACTCATCATTGTACCTACTTTTTAGCAGAGGGTGCCACGAGTAAAAATTTAAAAATCTACCTGAAAATGTAGGTTTTCGATATAAATCATGAATAAGGATATTCTCTTTTTTGATCAAGTAGACGTCCAAAAAAATTCAATCCAGAATCATACTCTACTTCTACAGTGAATTTAAATCTAGGGTGATAAGAATTAAGACCTTCTAAGAGTTCATTTATATGGGTATTGTCAAGAGAAAGAGCAATATCGACGATATAATGCGTCAGGAAACTCGATGAATTCGTACAATAGCATTGAAAAGGATCCGAAACGGGATCGAAACGTTTGTACAAAACTTTGGAACAAATAAAAAATTATTACTCATTGACACCCTGTGTTTGGCTTCATAAGGCATCAATCTTAATGACAGAAGATTCATCTGTAACGAGCCGATCAACATAGAATTACGATTATATATTAAATATCGTCTATGTATCTTACATAAAACAATGGAGCAACAGAAAGTTTCTTTTAATGTCTGCACACAATTCCAAATCTTGC